AGGAGCGTGCCTGGTCCACGAGTTTGCCTGGTCCAGGAGCTTGCCTGGCCAAGGAGCTTGCCTTGTCTAGGAGCTTGCCTGGTCCAGGAGCGTGCCTGGTCCAGGAGCTTGCCTGGTCTAGGAGCTTGCCTGGTTTAGAAGCGTGCCTGGTCAAGGAGCTTCCCTGGTACGCTCTTGGACTAGGCAAGCTCTTGGACTAGGCAGGCTCGTGGACCAGGCACGCTCCTGGACCAGGCAAACTCCCGGACCAGGCACGCTCGTGGACCAGACACGCTCCTGGACCAGGCAAGCTCCTGGACCAGGCATGCTCGTGGACCAGGCACGCTACTGGAGCAGGCAAGCTCCTGGACCACGCAAGCTCTGGGACCAGGCACGCTCCTGGACCTGGCAAGCTCGTGGACCAGGCAAGCTTCTAGACCAAGCAAGCTCCTAAACCAGGCAAGCTCCTAGACCAGGCAAGCTCCTAGATTAGGCAAGTTCTTGGACCAGGCAAGCTCCTGGACCACGCAAGCTCCTGGTCCAGGCACGCTCGTGGACCAGGCACGCTCCTGGACCAGGCAAGCTCTTGGACCAGGCAGGCTCGTGGACCAGGCAAGCTCTTGGACTAGGCAAGCTCCTGGATCAGGCAAGCTCCTGGACCAGGCAAGCTCCTGGACCAGGCACGCTCCAAAACCAGGCAAGCTCGTGGACCAGGCACGCTCCTGGACCAGGCACCATCCTGAACCAGGCACGCTCCTAAACCAGGCAAGCTCGTGGACCAGGCACGCTCGTGGACCAGGCACGCTCCTGGACCAGGCAAGCTCCTAAACCAGGTAAGCTCGTGGACCAGGCACGCTCCTGGACCAGGCAAGCTCCTGGACCAGGGAAGCTCCTAGACCACGCAAGCTCTTGGACCAGGCACGCTCCTGGACCAGGCAAGCTCTTGGACCAGGCACGCTTCTGGACCAAGCAAGCTCCTGGACCAGGCAAGCTCCTTGACCACGCAAGCTCTTGGACCAGGCATGCTCCTCGACCAAGCAAGCTCTTGGAGTTTGCCTGTTCCAAGAGCTCTCCTGGTCCAAGATCTTGCCTGGTCAAGGAGCTTGTCTGGTCCAGGAGCTTGCCTCATCAAGGAGCTCGCCTGGTCCAAGAGCTTGCCTGGTCCAAGAGCTTGTGTGGTCCTGGAGCGTGCCCGGTCCAGGAGCTTGCCTGGTCCAAGAGCTTGCCTGGTCCAGAAGCTTGCCTGGTCCACGAGCTTGCCTGGTCCAGAGGCTAGCTTGGTCCTAAAGCCTGCCTGGTCCAAGAGCTTGCCTGGTCCAGGAGCTTGCCTGGTCCAAGAGCTTGTGTGGTCCAGGAGCTTGCCTGGTCCAAGAGCTTGCGTGGTCCAGGAGCGTGCCTGGTCCACGAGTTTGCCTGGTCCAGGAGCTTGCCTGGCCAAGGAGCTTGCCTTGTCTAGGAGCTTGCCTGGTCCAGGAGCGTGCCTGGTCCAGGAGCTTGCCTGGTCTAGGAGCTTGCCTGGTTTAGAAGCGTGCCTGGTCAAGGAGCTTCCCTGGTACGCTCTTGGACTAGGCAAGCTCTTGGACTAGGCAGGCTCGTGGACCAGGCACGCTCCTGGACCAGGCAAACTCCCGGACCAGGCACGCTCGTGGACCAGACACGCTCCTGGACCAGGCAAGCTCCTGGACCAGGCATGCTCGTGGACCAGGCACGCTCCTGGAGCAGGCAAGCTCCTGGACCACGCAAGCTCTGGGACCAGGCACGCTCCTGGACCTGGCAAGCTCGTGGACCAGGCAAGCTTCTAGACCAAGCAAGCTCCTAAACCAGGCAAGCTCCTAGACCAGGCAAGCTCCTAGATTAGGCAAGTTCTTGGACCAGGCAAGCTCCTGGACCACGCAAGCTCCTGGTCCAGGCACGCTCGTGGACCAGGCACGCTCCTGGACCAGGCAAGCTCTTGGACCAGGCAGGCTCGTGGACCAGGCAAGCTCTTGGACTAGGCAAGCTCCTGGATCAGGCAAGCTCCTGGACCAGGCAAGCTCCTGGACCAGGCACGCTCCAAAACCAGGCAAGCTCGTGGACCAGGCACGCTCCTGGACCAGGCACGCTCCTGAACCAGGCACGCTCCTAAACCAGGCAAGCTCGTGGACCAGGCACGCTCGTGGACCAGGCACGCTCCTGGACCAGGCAAGCTCCTAAACCAGGTAAGCTCGTGGACCAGGCACGCTCCTGGACCAGGCAAGCTCCTGGACCAGGGAAGCTCCTAGACCACGCAAGCTCTTGGACCAGGCACGCTCCTGGACCAGGCAAGCTCTTGGACCAGGCACGCTTCTGGACCAAGCAAGCTCCTGGACCAGGCAAGCTCCTTGACCACGCAAGCTCTTGGACCAGGCATGCTCCTCGACCAAGCAAGCTCTTGGACCAGGCAGGCTTCTGGACCAAGCTGGCTCCTGGACAAGGCAAGCTCCTGGACCAGGCAAGCTCCTGGACCAGGCAAGCTCCTGGACCAGGCACGCTCGTGGACAAGGCACGCTCTTGGACCAAGCAAGCTCTTGGACCAGGCAAGCTCGTGGACAAGGCACGCTCCTGGACCAGGCAAGCTCCTGGACCAGGCAAGCTCTTGGACCAGGCAAACTTGTGGACCAGGCACGCTCGTGGACCAGGCAAGGAGCGGCACCCTAAGGGGGGAGGGGGTCTGCAACAGCAGCACCTGGCGCGAGGAAGAGAGGTGGGGGGGGGAGCGGGGCAGTGTGGTAGGGGAAGGAAGAGGCGGTAGTAGGGGACGGACTCGTCAAAAGTGACGTCCTGGGAGGGCAAGACTCGTTGCGAGGTGGCGTGGCAAAACTGCCAACCAAACGCGTCCGGGACAAAGCCGAGGAAGACGCATGGGAACAGCACGGGAGGAGAGCTTGTCCGCAGACGTATCGCGGACAAAAGCTTGAGACCCTCAGACCCGGAAACGTGACGCATCGCCAACCTCCCCCGTCCACAGCAGCGTGGGCGAGGTCTCCGGCAAGGAGACATGGGGCCAGAGGTTGAGCTGATGCGCAGCGTACCAGACTGCAAACGGCCACAGAAAGTGGGGGGCAGCCGCATGGATCAAGGAGGTACGGGCGACCTCCATGACCAGGCCAATGCGGCGCTCCGCAACCCCATTCTACTGTGGAGAAGCCGGAAGCGTGCACGACTGCTCAATGCCGTGCTCAGCACAGTAGGCTGCCAAGAGGTCGGAGGAGAACTCACCACCTCTGTCAGAGTGCAAGCGTAGGACAGGAAAGTCCGAGTGAAACCGCTCGCTGAGCTGGAGACGGGCTCTGCGGATCCAAGGGATCAACACATCAGGGACCTCACCCTTGGTGCGCAAGGGGAAGACCGAGGTGTAGCGCGAGTAGTCGTCAACAACTATCAGGAAGTACCTCTCCTGACCCTGACCACGGACGCGGGCTGGGCCCCACACGTCCATGTGGAGCGTCTGCAAGGGAGCAGTCGTCGGGGGGAACGAGGAGGAGTGAGGAGCGGCGCGCTGCCGTCCCTCGACACAGGGGAGACACGTAGGAGCAGGCGAGGGTGGGAGGGCAGGAAGGACTCTGGGCAGGCTAGAGACAAGGTACCGGGAGTGCATGGCACGAAGCCGCTGCACAGACGGGTGGCCAAGGCGGTGGGTGCCAAAGGACAGTCTCGTATGCCAAAGAGCGACACGAGCAGGGGGGTGACAGCTGACCTGACACGGACGCGGACGCAGACGCAGCAACCTGAGGGGACTCAGTAGTCAGTGTGTACAGGTCCGACCCCGGCTGCCGAGTGAAGGTAGCCAAGTGACGGCCCGTACGAGCACACGTGCAGTGTGTCACGCGCTCGTAGGCAGGGGTGAACTGGTGAACACCCCCGTCCTGGAGCGCACATCCTGCCACCAAGTTCGTAGAGAACGAGGGGAGGTGGAGACCTGACAGTGTGCCCGACGGGACCGCAGGGCAGGGAAGGACAGTGGAAGAGGTTGCAATGACCGGACCCCTAGAGGGGTCAGCAAGGGAGACAGCAACTGGCCGAGCAAGCGGCTCAAGGGCAGTGCGGTCACGAAAGAAGCAGCGAGAAGCACTTGATTCCAGTGTGAAGGTGTGTAGTGCGGTAGTCGATGCAGTACCAAGGGGGGGAGACACACGAGCACCTAAAGCAGCAGCCTCACCAGCACCTGGGGTAGCCGACAACGCGAGTACCTGAAGCGGCAGACGCACTGGCCCTAATGCCCGGGCCGGGCGGCACACACAAGTACTCAGCACCCTCTCCACTAGTAGACATCACATACATGGTAGATAGAATAGCATCAAAAGTCTAGAGCATAGATATCAATCCTATTCTTCAGGAGATCAAGCCAGCGGGGCAGCTCACTGGCCTGAGGGAACTGAACACGCCAAGCGTCGTCGAGACGAGAGAAGCAGCGCTGTGTGGCGTGCTGTCGTCCACACTGCTGACCAGTGCGATCACCAGTGCGAATGACGTACGTGCAGCTAAGACCACCCCCACCCCCGTGTTGAGAGTACCACTCACGGACCTCCTGGGGCGAAGGAGTGTGCTGCTGGCCCTGGCCACCGCCAGCGCCTCCACGGCCACCACCACCGCTGCCACCTCCTCGACCACCTCAACCCCTGCCGCCGCCTCGTCCACCGCCACCCCAACCGCCGCCTCCACTCCTGCCACGCCCCCGCCGCTGCCGCCACCACCCCCACCGCTACCACCCCAACCGTCGCGACGAATTTTTCTGCGCCATGCGCGATGTCCTTCAGCTGCGCGCATCACTAGCGCTCGCCATGTCATGGCTGGTGCTCGGTGACAGCAGCGCACGTGACGACCTGCAGCGCCGGAATGCGCGTTTCCTGAGGCTGCGGCCAGATCCGCGACTGCTGCTTCGGTCGCGCGGCTGTCGTGACCTCCTCGCTTGACAACCTGCGCGTTGGAGCTCCTTGCGCGCGACTGCTGTTCATGGCGCCCGTGGCGATCGGCAGCAGCGACTGGCGCACGACTGCAGCAGCATGCGCGCCGCTGCATTACTTCGCATGTGGCGGCTTCTGCTGGTGCGCAGCCCTCCCCTTGCCATTTCGGGCGACCTTGTGCTCGTGTGGCAGCATCTGCACTGCGACACTTGGCTCTTGGCAGGTGCGGGGCCTTCTTACACCAGCAGCTTCCGACGCCGCACCGCTGCATCTGCGTGCCTACTCTGTCGTGACGAGGTGAGTTGCCCTTCTCATGTAGCTACCACTGCTTGCACCTTGACCTCACTCATGTGTGTTTCTTGCAATTGATGTACTGCAGCACTGGCCGTGCTAAGTCGCTTGTTACTGCTCCCACATTCTCTTGTGATTTTCTTTGCCCCCGCCCATACCAGCTAGCGAGCGTGAGCGGCTGCAGCCGGCATCGGCACCTGGCACTCTGGCCCATACGTCTGCAGCTCCTGGTAGCGCATGGCTGCTGCTCCTGGCGGCCCACGGCTGCTACTTCTGGCGGCGCGCGGCTTTCTCCTACCGACCGAGGTGAGAATGCTTAGTTGAATCTGTCAGTTTCACCCATGTTACCCTGTTACTCTGTGCTGCTTCCCATGACTCTGTGCTACTCCTCGTGACCCTGTGCTTCTCCCCCTATACTAGGTGACCCCCGGAGGCAGCTGCAACTTGTACGCAAGCACCTGGCGGCTGCATCTGCTCCTGGCGGCTGCTTCTGCTTCCTGGCGGCTGCTTCTGCTCCTGGCGGCTGCATCTGCTCCTGGCGGCTTGCTTCTGCTCCTCGCGGCCGCTTCTGCACCTGGCGCCTGCGTCTGCAAACGTCTGCCAGCGGCACCCCGTGACTGGTGGCAAGCAGCATCAGCAGCACCTGCGTCACCTTGGTGAGCAGCACCAGCAGTGCCTGTCTCCAGTTGTCTCCCCCTTCCTCTCCTCTCATTGGAGTCATGCTTTTGTATTTAGGAGTCGGCTTCCTCTTGTAATTCCCTCCGTCTGCTAGCCTCATGTTGACTCATGCTGATGTTTTGTCTCCCCCTGAAACCAGCAGGCATATGAAGTCTTCAGGAACGGCCGCTGCAGATGGCGAGTGGTTGTGACCAACCGGCAGCAGCGACTGTCTAGCAGAATATCTAATGGCTGCTGGTGTTACTGATTGCAGTAGGTCTTCTCATGATGATATGCGGACGCTTGTGATGAAAATGAAAAGATACTCCCAAGATGAAATCCTGATTTGTTGCACCCCAAGATGCTCCACACCCCACTCCCCCTCTCACTCGAGTGTTTGTAGGCATGCACATGCGTGAGCACGCACATATCACCAAACACATGAGTGAGATGTGTGGAGTTACGTGATGCCGTGTTGTTCAGCTCCCCTTGAGAAGCCCGGACTTGAGAGTGCAGCTCCAGCAGCTTCAATGTGAGTACTGGGTGCAGACGGTGCAAACATGAGGAATAGGTTGGAGACCGCACAAGAGGCGGCAGGTGAGATGTTGCTTTGCTGTGAGGGGCTTGTGAGATAATCTGCAGCCTGCTGAGCTGTCTGGCAGTACTCCGGCCGCACAACTCCATCACGAACCGCCTTCCGCGTCCAATGGTAACGGATGTCCATGTGCTTGATGCGTTGACTCATCTGCTCCCCAGTTGCAAGTGCAATTGCACTTTGATTATCCACAAAGATGACAGTAGGTTCTTGCTGTCGAAAACCGAGGTCTTCACACAAGCGGCGAAGGTACGTGGCTTCTCTTGCCCCTTCAACAGTGCAATGTATTCTGCTTCAGCTGTTGATGTCGCAATGACCGTTTGTCGTTAGTCCTCCAACTAGCAGCAGCTCCTCCCAAGGTAAACACGTATCCTCCAACTGAGTGACGCCCTTCTTCGTTCGCATAATCCGAGTCCGTGTATCCGCGGAGCACCAAGTCTCCTCCATAGACCAGTCCCATGTCTGCAGTACTCTGTAAGTAGTTGAACACCCTGTGGATTCCAAGCACTGTTGCTGCTGTTGGTTTGCTTGCTTGCGTGGCTAGCACATGCGTCGCATGGGTTATGTCTGGCCGCCCTGCTGTTGAGATGTACAGCAATGTCCCAACTTGTTTCAGCACCAATTGACCATCAATTTCGTCCGGTGGTTCTCCTTGTGGTGTCAGGTTCCTTGGCGATTGGTGTTCGTACTCCAGAACGGCTGCCCTCCATCCCAAATGTCGCCAAAGCCTGTGAGATGTACTTTGTGAGTGCGAGTGGCGATCGAGTCATTGTCCGTGGCGACATGAGCCTCCCAAAAAACTGCGTCATGGACTTGCTGACCGTTAGGGTAAAGTTCTGCTTCAAGTGTTGAATCACAGCTTCAATGCCTTCTGCGTCATGGGACTGGATGAGGATGTCGTCAACGTAGGTGAGTAGCCACACCGTATCTTTGCCGTCTCTTGTCCAGATAAACAAAGATGGGTCTGATTCGGATTGCACCATGCCCAGCTCCAGCAACACACCCCGTAAGTGTTGATGCCACAAGCGTGGTGCTTGCTTCAGCCCATATACACTTCTTTTGAGTTTCCAGACTTTGTCTCCGTCCCGCCTTGGTTCTGGTGGTCTCACGTATATGTCCCGGTCGATCGGGGCGTATAGGAATGCATTGGAGATGTCCAGTTGCACCACCTTCCGCTTTGTAGCAGATGCACCAGCAACAAACACGTGAGAGGTAGGTCCTTGGCTGACCGGTGCATACGTCCCATCGTATGTCCCCCAAGTTTGGCCGCATCCCTTGACCACCCCAGCGCGCCTTGAACCGGTTTGGCTGTCCGCGTTCATCTCGTTTCACCCGCAAAACGACTCCTTCCGTCAGCACCAGTGTTCCTTTCGGTACGTCCGCTCTGTCTACCACTTCATATGCATCCAGCTCATCGAACTTGGCCAATTCTGCATCCAACAGCGGCTTGCCAAAGAGGTGCGTACGGGTCTTTGGTCATGTCTTGAAGTGTTTTTGGCTCTTTGTATGTCAGCTCCACCATGGGGACGCCGGTGGTTGCACATCCCAGTACGTTCTGCTGCTGCACGTTGGGAAATCGTGTGAATGTTTGTCCTGCCCTGCCGCCTCCCAAACAGTACGTCCAGTCCTGTCATGTTGTCCGTCCCTTGTCCTTCTCCTCCAAGTACTATCACTGTTGGTTGAAGTGAACCCGCCTTGGTGGCACGTCAGGAGCAGCCAGCGGGATCCCATTGGGCGGGTAGGCATAGTTGTATAGATGACCTTCATTTTCTTGTTTCGTTGTTGTCAGCATTTTCACAAACAGAGATGCCTGCCGCTGGTAAGTCACTTTTCCGCTGTCGCTTCTCCTGTATCGGCTTCAGTAGCTGCTGGTGGGTCTTCTTGAGCTGCGTCATTGGTCGTAGGTCCATGTTGTTCTGCTGTAGCGACGTCAGAAGATGTGGAGGAAGTGAGAGATGCGGGAAAAGAGTCAAATGCTGACCCAACGTCCTCTCCCCCTGAAGTCCACTCCGAGATGTGAGGTGAGACTTCATCTATGTACCGTTGGCGTTTCGAGCAGAGACTCGGCGTCCGGGAGCATGAGGTCGTCAAAGAAGCGAGCTGAGCGTGTGTCCGTGTCAACGTCGCTTGCCAAGTCCCGTACGATCCATGCTTTTCGTGAGTTAGAGAGGCCGAGAAACATGCCTGCCCGTCCTCGTTGTTCAAATTTCCCAAAGCTGCCTTGGGGGAGGGCGATAATAGCAGAGGCATCCGAAGGTTCTGGCCATGGAGACATCTGCTGCCTTTCCCATCATCATGAAGTACGGTGAGTGTGCGGATGGGTTGCTGCTGCAGCTGATGCGGTTGTGTAACCATGCCGCATATTCCAGTGCATAAGGCCAGAACTTGGAGGAAAGGCTGGCCCCGGTAGTCATTGCTCGCACTCGGTCCATGAGTGTGCGGTTAACTCGTTCGGCGACTCCATTCTGCTGCGGCGTGTGTGGTAAGGACGTTTGGTGATTGATATCGTGAGAACTCAGGTAATCTGTGAATGCGTTTGATGTATATTCCCCCCCGTTGTCCGTGCGCAAGGTAGCCAGCGGCATCTTGGGCAGCTTGGTCTTCATCTCACGGTGCCAAGCCGAGAAAACTGCAGCCATGTCGGACCGGCGAGCCAACGGCGCCACCCACAGGTAGTTGGTGTAGTCGTCCTTGAGCGTCAGCACATAGCGAAGGTAAGGGTGAGCATCACCCAGGTCCATGATGTCGCTGTGCACGAGCTCCAAAGGTCGCGTTGTGGCATTGGTGCTTCCTGTGGGAAAGGGGGCTTTGCTCATCTTCCCTCGAAGACATGAGTCACATGGGGGTTTGAGAGGGTTAGTCTTGTCGGATATGGTGAGCCCTTCAACATCACCATTTCGAAATGTTGCATCCATGGATGTGTATGATGGGTGACCCAAGCGCTTGTGGGCCATGCGGTATGTGATGGATGCATGCGCTGAAAGTGGATTCGGCTCTTTATGACCATGATCATGCGATGCGTCTTCTTCAAGGGAATGGTCAGATCCATGGGCAGGTGCAAGTGCAGGCTCATACTGCACCATGAGCACACCATGCATGATCATTCCAACCCCAATGACCACATGCTCATCTTCAACCGCCATAGTAATCTCCGTGCGTCCGTCATCACGAGTGCGAATGCGAGCCCCTTTCGTGTGCAGCTGGCAATAGGAGAGCAGGTTGGACCTCAAGCCAGGTACGTAGAGCACATCCGTGTAGCGCACTATTGTTCCATCGGGTGTCGTTGCTCGGATTGTTCCCGTCATTGAGCTCAACAAGTGGCTCCCGTCAGCAAGCTCCACGTAAACAGGTTCGTCCAGCTCCTCTAGACCCTCAAACCACTCTTTTTCTGAAGTCATGTGTTGGCTGCATCCGCTGTCCAGCAACCACAGCGACCCTCCGGGTGTTGGTAACATTGCTTGTGAGGATCGAACCGTTGCAACGCATGTAACGGTGCGTTTGTTATCTCCCCCGGCTGCCCCTTGCTGTTTTGACGTTTGGTTGTCACGTTTGGGGCTTTCACTCCTTCGAGGCGAGGACGAACGGCTATTCCAGGTGCGTTGGTTTGTCCTCCCTTTGTTTTGTGGTTCCCACCCTGGTGGTGACCAACCGGGGGTGCCTTAGAACATCTGTAGAACGGGTGGCCAGATTCCTTGCAGTACCAACACACAAGGTTGGAGCGCCCTCCCCTTCCGTCGTTGGCCTTGGGTTTCTCCCCAACCGCACTCTGGTTGCCCTTTGTCTCGGTCCTCTCCTTTGCTGGTGAAGTATCTCCACGTGCTTGGCCAGCCATGCGCGGAGGACGCTTGTCACGGTTGGTCTTGCTAATGAGGTCTTGGTAGCGTTGTTCCTGAATCATCATTCGCTGTAGTGTGTAGCTGTCCGAGATGTCGTGTAGCATTGCCGAATGTCTCAGCTCCTCCCAATGCGGCGGCAGCCCGGTAATCAGATTTAAAGTGAACGAATCTTCATCCACCATCTTTCCCGCCATCGCCAGCTTGTCTCGAATTGCAGTTGCTCGGTTGATGTATTCCTCCACTCTTTCTTGGCTCCCCATCTTCAGGTTGTCCAATTGCCTCTGGAGAGACGCCTTTGCCACCGAATCCTTCGCCTGGTAAGTCTCCATCAGGTACTCCCATGCTTCGAATGCCGGACTGCATGACTCTGGAAACACGTCCAGTTGCAGCTGAATCGTTGCGCTCACGCTATGTAGCAGTACCCAAAAAGCCAGCGTAGCTCGTTGTGAGTAATCTGCTTGCAGAACTTCCAGCCGTTCCATTGCATCTCGCATGTCTCCATTCGTCATTGTAACCGGGTATTGTAGTG